AATAATAATAATTTTTTTCTTATGCATAATTTCATAATACTGTACGCGACACACTATATTTGTCAAGTATTAACAAAGTTACAGTATACAGTTTTGTCAAATTCATCATAAGTTAAGAATTTTCTTATTAGTGAATAAACAAATAAACATTAAGAATTTTCTTGTTAATGAATAAACGAATAAAAATTAGGCTAATGATTTGAGGTGACTTTGTTGAATGATTGTGTAAGTGAATGGGACTTCACCAAAAAAAGTTTGAAGGATGATTGATAAATAATATGAAATCCCATATAATCGGAATTCAATAATTAATAAACAAAATATCATATGCGTAAAAATTAGAATTTAACATATAAGTTTATATTAGTTTTTTTAATTACAAACACATGAAAACCAATTGTAAATGTACAGTATGGGATATATTAAATGATCGAATGATCATTATGAGAAATCACACAAAAAGCTTCCTTGAAACATTCCTAGTATTCTTTATGCGCGAACATACGTTGTGCCTATAATTGGTAATGGTATAGTCGCCAAATTTACGCATTCATTTTAATACAAAGGAATGAATGAACAAAAGGAGTGATGTACGCGTGTGTCCCTTGTTAACGTTTTTGTGTATTAATACTGCATACACGACTAATTTAATATGAACACAATGAACGATTAATAATAATGATAATAATAATCCGGCGTTACACACGAGTTTTGAACAATGGACAAAAATCGTTCGGCATTCCAAAAACTATCTTCCGATGTACATACTGTAAATGTGATAAATGATAAATTACGCAAAGCAAAAGGAAATCACAATAATGAAAACCATCGAGTGATTATGAAATACATAAAGACAAAAAGAACAATGATTTTCCATCAACCGAGAAAAAAAACAAAAAAAAAAAACGTGGAAGATTTTCAGATTTCAATAGTAACAACGTTAATATAGTTTAATTAATACTTTCGCTGTTTCATATAGAATTCCGGGTGTAACCATTATTATTAAATGAAACTTGTTTACGTGAAGATAAAGAACTGCAGTGATGAACCTGGTTTATACAATGTCTATTCTAATTATTACTATAAAGGAACAATTAAGTAAATATTTGCAACTTAATAAAATTCACGTGGACCTTTTCATTTAAAGAATGAATGGAAATTTTGTCGGATGTATCCCTTGTTGAATGCACTTCTTTATGCTGTGGTGATACGGACGTATACACATAAAGAGAATAAACACGAAAAAGCACAACAGGAATTCATTCTTGTTTTTAAAGCTTCCTTGAAGTCAAACTAGTATACAACAGTATCATAATGCGTGATTTTTATTGATTCTATTTATGAGTTCATTATGATTTTTGTTTTTTTCTTTTTTTTTTGAGTGTCACAATGTCGTTACCGAGTCATCGCTCCGTGACAATATATGCTTTTGACTTTATGGACAATGATACTGTACAAACTTTTATCAGTAATGATCGACACAAAGTGTAAGGTGTTCTTATCTGAACGCGTCATCGACCATTAAAAAACAAGCAAAAAAACAATTGCTTTCTCGGAATTCCTGAAATTTCTTGTTATTCTTTTTATAAAATGTTCCCGTGTAATCTTTGTAGTAGAATATAAAGTTTCATTGTGGTTGAGCACGATTAGTCATCGTACTCGGGGATTGTCATTGTAAGGAAAAACTCCAGCCTATTATTCCAAGTATTTTTTTTGCGAATGTTTGTTTTGTCATCTGTTTGGTATAAAGATTATTAGTATATTGTTGTTCCTGTTTATTATTATTTGTTTTGATGATAGGCTAATAAAAGTGTTGGCGCGGAGAATAATGCCATTTGAAAATAATCATTATGTGATGGGATGTCCGGACAAGACATGAATAGCAGTACACACAATACGTGTGTAAAAAGACGATTCGTAAACAATACAATGTTTATAATTAACTCTACTGCTTTCCTATTCAACTTACTAATTGTTATGTTAAGTTAAATAATAGTAAGTATTTTATATTAGGCGGCACAAAATTAACCAATTGGTTAAATTTTAAATCATGTGATTAATCATATTTAATTTAAACTTATCATTATTATTCGAATATTTGCAAAACAGTTTTTCCAAGAAGTAAATCTTATTGGTTAAAAATCTCTGTCTTTCGAAATAAAAGTCGGGTTAAATCAAAGTCGTGATAGAACCAATTTATTAATTTTATATCGTCTTATCTGATTATTAATATTACATCATTGTTGATGAATTAATATTCTTTATTAAATATAAATAAGTCTCGATAAATGAAAAGAATCTGTTACACATAAGTTAGTTCAAAGGAGCAAAAAGAGGATCTCGACAGACAATGCGAGTGCCTCGTCCAGACCACAAACTTATCAGGAATATTGGATGAAGTCTCAACTGGAAGCACAAGGACTTTACATCCATTTTGAACGATTATACAGTACCAAGGAGATATCGAGGAGGTTGTGGTTCGGCTCTGCATATTTGTATATGAGTTTGTTGAATGAAGCATTGGCAAGAACAGTACAAAGATCGTGGTACTCGGTTCAGATGTCAACATAGATGACGTCGAATCCAGTGAGCTTGCCAAGGACCTATTATCAATCATTACTACCTTTTCAACAAGACATGGTAGATTCAGACTAACTGAGAATTAAAAATGACAAGGAGAGATTGAAAATACGAAAGATACGGATTTATCAAACACTTGAAGAAAGAAAAAGGTTGAGAAAAAGGATGGGAACTGCGAGGTGGGCATACAGTATAACAAGGTTCTTAAGATGGTACAGAATGATGGAATCACTGACATGAGCGTTATACGAAGGCACTATCTAAATGATGAATGCTTTACAATTCAAGTACTTCTCTGGGTAAAAGAGACCCCCAGGGAAGTACGTTCGTATGCAATTCGACAATTGAATAACTGCATAAGAAGTTACATGAAAATAATTTTCAAATGAAATACCGATCAAAGAAGGATCGAACACAAACTATTTCAATCCTTGCTAGGGATTGGTCCATAATAACGTTAGAAAGATTACCAGAAATAAGTAACACATTAAAATCACCATGAACAGGTTGGGCCATTTCTACTTGTGTGTATCTGTTCCCTTGAATATTATCGATAATCAAGATAATGTTCAAGAACAAGTAATCTAGCTTAATCCGGGTGTTCGCACATTTATGACTGGTTACAATCCCAACGGTCAATTAACCTAGTGGGTTAATGGTGATCTTACAAAATATTTAAGTTATCCAAGAAATACGACAAATTACAAAGTGACAGGGACCTTGCTTTGGGAAAAACACATAAGAGAAAAAGATTTCGGTTGAAAAAAGATGTTACGAATCATACAACGAATCCATAAGTTGATTGATGTGTCAGAGTCATGAGATCATTCCTTTACCCGAGTTCGAATCTTCAAGGATGGTTTTAAAGAACAAGCGAAAGGTTCGGTCAAAAACTGGTCGTGCGATACTTACTTGGTCTCATTTCAGGTTTCGGATCATAAGGCAAGGGAGTTCAGAGGTTGCAAGGTCATTGAATGCACCGAAGAGTATACATCAAAGACATGTGGGAATTGTGGATTCGTAAAAAATAATCTCGGTGGATCAAAAACGTTTAATTGGGATTCATGTGATTTGGAAATTGACAGGGATGTAAATGGTGCTCGAAATATCTTGCTCAAACATTTGACAGAGGGTCAGGCGTGAGCCTGATTTTAGGACTTGAACCTATATGAGATAAACTTTATTTTTATTGGATTTAACTTCAAGGGCATATATTGCCGATCAGCTTTGTTCGAAATAAGGTTGAGGCTATCGTCCATAAATTAAGATAATCTTGCCATATTATCGTCGAGTGGTACACATGTCCGAAAAACTGCTTTATGGAGATGATCTTTTTTTTCTTAAATAGTGAAAGTACTGTACATAGAAATCGATATTATATTCAGAATATTCGAATTTCACCCCAAGAACTGTAAGTCTTATGTTTCTCCTGGAACTTGTTTTATAGTGTGAATGAGGTTTTTCTTCTTTTTTTCTTTGTTTTCAACATGAAATTTGACTGGTTTGTTTTCTTTAGTTTAACGTCTACTGGAAAATTATATACTGCGTGATGTGATAAAAAAAACAATATTAGCAACCATCGCATCTAATTGTTAGTTGTCAAACCAATTTCGATAGATTTTGGTTATTTTTCTTTTACATTATATGTGTTGCAAGAATGTGAACTAAATGTGTATACCCATATTTTTAATGCACTACCAAGAAATAATTAATCTTCTAGAAACGGTATGATTAGACTTGGAATTATTATATGCAAATTCCGCAGCAGAAAGATACTCATCGGTGAGCGATAAGGATTCAAATCCGGTATTGAGACGGAGATTTTGTCATTTTTAAGTTTCCGAAAATTAAAAGTCACTTAAAAACTTATACTATTGGGTAAAAAAAATTGATGCATATTCGGATCTATTTCAATTTTAATTAAACACAAGGATCATTTGTAAACTTTATGATATACGCGTTATGCTGAGTGCGCACAGATTCAATCGAAATATCGAAATCTGTGTCTTTTTAGAGGTTGTGCCAAATTTGCCTTAATTAATTGTCAATCCATTTCGGACCTAAACTAAATTAGGCTAGTCAATTTTGATATTGTTCACAAAACGCGATTTTCTTTTCAAATTATCCAATATTAACAATAGCTGTCCTGCAATTATTTTTGGCTGATAACTTTGTATTCTGTTCTACACTCTTCCAATTATTCACACAGCTAGCTCCCTAAAAAGCACGTACAATGGTGCCATACTATAAATATTTCATTGTTAGTATCGCTTTAAACATTAAGATAATCCACTAATTAATTACCATTTTCTAGTAACATCCCCCCTATGACCAACCGGATTTTCAATTCATTGCTGGAAAAAACTCACAACAGAAAAATTTGTAAATGGTGAATGGTGTTAGGTGATAACAAATAATAAATGACTTGCGAAATTTCTTTAAAAACTTTAACCCGATATTTAACTCCTGAATATTTGGCTCTCACGACATTGATGAGATGTAATGACACGGCGTTTTTATTAGGTCGTCACATTGTTCGCACAAATATATTATTTTCACTTATTCATTGTCAAACTGTCTTACACAAAATAACAATGATTCCATATACAGACAGATATTGAAATAGATGTAAAATGTAGATCCTTGTCTGTCCGTCCGCAGCTTTGGCTCCTGTACATATTTTTATCAACCCGCGCTACCACTGCAGATTTTAGGTATGCAATCTTGTTTCGGATAATGACCTGCCCTTTTAAGTCTCGGTCTTAGATAATGAAACCTGTTACAGATTACGTGACCATTTTCTATGTACCAAATACTGGCGATGCGTAATTATGCGTAATTCTTTGTAATAGGGATCTTCTTTATTACATTTGTAAATGTTATATGTCACTGAATGTTTATTAAAAATCACGCACTGTGATATTTGAAAAAATCACCCAAGCCTATACACTGATTATCTTTTTTTTTTTCTTGCTGTGGTAATATCAGATTTGTATTAATTAATTTCTTATGTACACTGCATATATTATCTTACATTAAGATTAAATAGAAATATGATTTGATGATTTTTTAATTTTCTAATTAATATACTGTAAATTCAAATTGTATAACAAGATAGGTACTGCACAACATTATTAAATAAAAATCGGTTTTATTTGATAGCCTCTTGTCTTGTGACTTGATTCCAGTATTGTGTAGCTAATAAAATTTCTATATATCAAATAATCATTAAAACATAAAATTAATAAACTGATTTATGTCAGTGTTACAAATTCTGATCAAATTTATATGCTTTTTTTAAGCAAAAACCATATTGATTATTATATAGTATGAAATAAATCAAAGCAACTAATTCATTGTAATTTTATTATAATAATTTAATAATAACTATAAGATTTAAAATCATTATTAACAATTAACAATACTTATTATTCCTTTATCAATAAAATATCAATAACTACATCAACAAAATATAATCTAAGTAACATATTAACAATATTATTATTTATTATGAACAATAGCCTGGTTACTTTTGGAAGTAATATTTTACTTCAGTTGAGTAGAATAACTAATATGACATATTTAATTCAAAGCATTTTTTGTATTATAATCAATCTTTTTTATATTTTTCTTTTAATCATTATCAAATATTTAAACTCAAACAACAATATCATTACTATTATTAATAACAATTCAAAAAACAACTTTTAAGAAAACATATTATTAATACTATTATATACCTTAAATTGTAACCTAACTATTCTAAAAAATATTATTATACTATAGAGAAATGGAACTATCAAAATGACATTAGATATAATTTATACTATAATTGGTTTTTTAATATTTTTTTTTATTTAATATTTATTTTTTTCTTTTCTTAAATTTTATTTTATATAATTTTAAATAGGTATTTATAGTTACTTGATATTATTTTTGATATATATCTAGTTTAATATTTATTTTTCTTTATTATTTAAATAGTTTCTATAATTAAACTAGTATTAAACTTATTGATTAATTGATTACATAAGAGATATTATCACTTTTTTCATATAAAATATTTTAAAATTTTTATAAAATAATAAAATAATAATATTTATTTACTAAAAAAAAAAAAATTATTTAAAAATTTTCTAGAAATATATCTCATATTACTTGTTGTTTTTTATTTAAAAACTAATATTTTTAAGCTTTATTGGTGTATTTTAATTAATTAATTAATTATAAGTTAAGTTTTATTTAAATTTTTATATAATATAAAAAAAATAAAATAAAAAACAGAAAGTAATATTATTTTTGATAAATAAAATCTCTTCTAACTTATTAAATTTATTAAGAATTACTTTTTATTATTACTTGCAACGAGATATTACTATTTAATTTTTATTATTTTAATAATGATTAACAATATTTAAAAAATACTTACAGTTATTAATTAAAATACAATTGATTTTTTTATTAAAGATATTAATTATTTATAATTTTATATTTATCTTTATAAAATAATTAACATTGAAGAAAATTACTTATTAAATTAAAATAAGATTATTTTTTGTAATCTAAAATTAAAAGATATTTTTCTATTACTTTTTACAATAATTATTATATACTAATTAAATAATTATTACATTATTATATTTTCATAAAACTATAATCTCAATATATATTGAATCAATATATAAACCAATTTTTTATAGAAAATAATATCTAATTAATTATATATTAATAAATTTAATATAATGAAGATATTTAGAATTTTTCATGATAAAAATTTCTGAATATTATATATATATATATATATGTTTATAACAATTGATAATAGAATAGACAGTTTTATTTATTTTAAAATGTTTTATTAAAATTTATTATATTAATAATATATAATATTGAAATTATTAATTATTATTATTGTTGTTGTTTTAAAACATATAAATTATTAGAATTTTTTAAAATTAATTTTTAAAATAAATATAATTATTATATTGTCTATACTTATTTCTGAAATGTTTTGTTCTTGAATCATAATAATATCTTATTTATTATTATAAATATTATTATTATTAGAATTTAATAATTCTCTGTAAAAGGTTTTATTATTTTGCAATTTTTTTTGAAATATAAAATTCAAATTTATCTTATTTCTTAATATTTTAAGTTTTATTTAATTTTTTTTAATTTGAATTATATTATTTTCAAAATCAAGAATTGTTTTTATATTGATATTGCAAAAGCCATATATTTTTCAGAGATTTTTTTTTTTAGTATTATATAGTGTCATATATCATTTCTACTTCAGGAGAAAGATAAAGATGAAGAACTAGTAGCAGGGAGGTACTTTAGATGGACAGGACCAATGTAATGTACTAAAGTTCCTAGAAATATACAAATTAGTACAATTTTGAGATATATGAGGTCAGATGAAAGAGGCAATAGTGATTTGTTTTGTAAAGGTCAAGTTATTTATTCAATAAAATATATGTTCAAGCCTGTCAATTCCTAAGCAAAATTGAAGCCTTTATATACATGTTTAGGTTATAATATTTTTGTACAGAATAAATATATGCTATGGCAAAAATATAAACTAAGATATAGATACTATTTTCGTCAAAATATTCAACTATAGTAGCATTTACATAGACAAGTACTTTGGTAAAGATAATATAGAAAGTAAAAATAAAATAAAATAGAAATATTCTAAAAATAGTAAAGGTGCAATAGATATCATAAATGCTAAAGATACAGTAACAGATCTGTAATACAAGACTATTCTAGAATAGCTAACATTTCAAAAATCAATACTAGTGAAAATTGGACAAGAGGTAGTGAAGATCTGGGATGAAAATTAAGTGTAACAATAGATACTTTTGTATATATTGTTTTTAAGAGTTCTTTAAAGTACTTTACAGTTTTTGGTAATTTTTTTCATACTATAATATTGCAGAGTCAATAATAATAATAATTTAATTTAACATAGTTTCACTAAACACTAAAAACATTGTATCCCAAATTCTTGAGATTAAAGTATCACAATTAGATTAATGTTTTCTTAAAAGCTTTAAAAATAAATTTAATATTATTCTTTTACTTTAAAATATTTTATAAATTTTTAAAACTTATCAATTAATAAATATATTTTTTATATATTTTTCAGTACTTTTTGTGATAATCCATTGAAAAACTTTGAATATTTATAACTAAAAAACTTTTTTTTTTAATAATATTTTGTGAAATTTGAATAAACTTTTTTATTAAACAATTCTTTTGCAATATTTTTAATTATCTATTAAAAAAAAAAATAGTTAACATCTTTAAAATACTTTAAAAAATTTTATACTTCAATAAAGTTTTGTTTTATAATAAAGTTATTTTGCAAATACATGTTATTTTTCAAATAAGTAATTTTATTTTTCAAGATCTTTTAATAATTAATTATAAAGTTAACTTTTTTTAAGATTAGAAAATTTTGTTCTGCAAATACTTTAAAAGTCTTTGTTAATATTAAAGAAATTTCAACTAATATTGATAATAAAGTTTATTTAATAGTAATATAATATATTTGAAAAATTTTCATTCTTTTTCCAGGTTTACAGTTACCTATTCACTTGAACAAATACTTTTAAATCTGTTTTAAGTGTTTTTATATGTTTTTATAATTTCTCTACTTCTTTATGTATTGTTTTTTGAATATTTTTGATATTTATTAGATTATTATTGGTTTTATTGAGATTTCTCAAATATTTTTTACTAGGATTCTATTCTTTCAATTTTTTTTTAAAACCTGTAATTAATATATTATATTTATTATATTTGTCTTATTTTTGTTTAGACATTTTTATAAAAACAAAAGAATTTAAAAATTTTATATAAAAATTTTTTAAAAATATTATTATATTACAATTTTCTTTATAATCCTTTATTATTTTTTGTATTTCTTAAAGAACTCTAATATATTAAATTATAATATAACATAAAAATATGTATTTATACAATTTATGCAAATTTAAATTAAATTTTTATTGATTAAAATCATTTGTTTTTTATTAGAATTATTTATTTTTTATTAATCAAAATTAATTATGATCTTTAAAGTACTTTAAAATTCTTTGAAAATATTTTATAAATATCTGTTTTGTAAAAAAACATTTTCTTAATATTCAAACTATTTTAGATATATAAATAAATATATATTAATAATTGAAACTAATAATAAATCTAATGAAAGCTTAAATGAGTCTCAAGTTTTAGATACTTCTGAATATTTTAGTAATCTTTATAGTATTCAAAATTGAAGCAGTTTGCAATTAATTTTTTATATATTTTATTTTAATTTTTTATTTTAATGTTATTTTTTTCAAGTGACTTTGAACACTCTTAAAAGTTTTAATAAAGTTTTTTTGAATATCATTGAATGTTCAAATACTTTAGTAAAATTTTCCAAAAAATTAATTAAATATTTTGTTATTGTATAATATTTCAATAATTCTAAATTTATTCAATTTTTTAAAGAATTATTTGATAAATTTTCCAATGAAACATATACAAATTTAATAATACTTGTTATAAAAAATATATTAAGTAATTTAATAAGAAATTAAATAATTTTTTTTTAATAAACATTCTAAATTGACAATTAGTTTTTATCAAAAAATATTTAGCAAAACCATATTTTTATGAATAATATAAAATAACCAAATTTAAAATATTAAAAAAAATATATTTTAAATTATAATAATGTTAAATTTTTCTTATATTATTTGTTATTAATTAGTTGTATTAAAAATATTTCAGAAATTTCAAAAATTTCTTAATATTTTATATTAAGCTTTAAAGAGTTATACAATTCAACAAAAGTATATAAAATTTTATTGAAATATTTATTAAATATTTTTTTAAAAACTTATAGAAAATTTATTTATAGTAAACAAAATAGTGAAATATAATAAAGGAATACAAAAAACTTTTTATTATTTGACTTTAAATTATTATTAATTATTTATATTTTGATATAACTAATTGTAATATTTTAGAAAAAAGTTTATTATATTCTATATATATTATAATAGATAATATATTAATATAAAAGTATAATAAATCTAACAAAAAGACTCTTTCCTATATACAACTTTTTTCTTAAAAAATTTCTTTTTATAGTAATTTTTCTTTAAAATTAAAGAAACAACTATTTTTTTCACCTTTCAATATCCAAAAATTCTTCACACTTCTTTTTTTTTCACTACAAGAGCTTCAAAGAAATTAAAGAAGTATACTGGTGCATCGGGATAGGATCTCTGGCCAGAAAAAAGCAAGTTTGAGGATTTTGCTTTTTTTTTGAATTGCATGAGAGAAGGCCTATAGGCCTGTGGCAGTTACTTATTTATAAATCCTTCTTGGGTTCTTCCCATTTTCTTTTCTTTTCTTTTCAATATACAAATCTTTTTAAATAACCATATTTCTTGCTTGGAGGACTTCTTTTTATCTTAAAAAACTAGAATTTACATCAAAATTGTTTATATTGTTGACTTGAAACACCAGTAATATATTCAATGTTTACTTCTCACTATCACCCAGCATATTTTGCTGCACCACCAAAAACCAAAAAATCTCATTCAAAAAATTTTATATCAAAAAACCACAATCAGTTTACTCCTATCAATTGATCAACATTCCAAACTCAACTAATCAAACACTATCAATCTTCCAAACAAATCTGTATAACCAAAGCACTACACTTTAATTAATATAAACAAAACCTTTTATAGTGACAACAACCAAAACAAAATCACACCACTAACAAATAAACCAATCACAATTCACATTACCACAACAACAATATTATTATCACAACTAATCATCCATCAAAAAGATATACCATCAATACTATTGTATACTTTGGACATTAGCCTGGCCATTTCTGGAAGTGCAACAGTACTTCAATTAAATGGAACTACTAACGTGGCATGTCTAGTGGTATTCATAGCTTCACAATTAGTATTTTTGTATTTTTTTTTTTTGTTTTTGTTTAGTATTTTCTTTTTTTTTCAATTTTAAATTTCTTATAGTTTTACATATAAACCTAAGTAGGTATTCATAGCTGCTTAGTACTATTTAGGATGTATATTGGTTTTAATATTTATTTTCCATGTTGCTTAGATAGTTTCTATAGGCAAGTTAGCATTAGACTTATTAGCTTAGCAAGTTATATAAGAGATGTTGTTGCTTTCTCCATGTAATTCATTTATTTGTTTTTTTTTCCTCTAATCAGACTGCTTTTGCTATGTTTATTATTCTTTAAAGAAGTATTACAATAATATATTAAACCCTAAGGTTATATATTAGAACTAAACTATGTCTAATACAGAACATTTGTCAATAAGCTATATAACTCTCTAAGTGTGATCGTAAGGAATAATAAAATCGTTTCTTTTTCAAGACCGCTCCTTGGCCTTGAGAAAAATCATTACCAGCCTATATTCAGACTGTCACTCCTATATGAACATGTGGTCTTAAGAGGCAAAAAAAATTTTTATTTTTTAAGAAATTAAAGGTAAATTGAAAAAGTAATAAAAGAGTTTGTTCTGATAAATAAAAATCCTCCAATATCAACTTCAATCCATTGGGATAAATTCTTTACTACCACTTGCAGCTAGGTAAACCATTTAATTTCTGCTATTTCATTGTTAACCAAGAACATTTAAGGGCACTTCCAGAAGAATAATTCTTGAAATTTTATGTTCGAAGACTTCTAACCTTTAGAGAGGATTGGTATTTTGATTGGCGATTTCTTTTCCAGCCTAATCTTCAAGGATTTATAACTTTTTTCAACCAATGGATAATTTTAAGACCCTTTTCTCCAACCATTTTTGGGATAATTAACAATAGAGAAAGCTTGTTACTGGATTGGAATGAAACTTCTTTTGATATTGAAGAGAAAAGAAACCAGTCCAAGAGGGGAAGGAGAAATACTATAACACTTTTTAACAAAAAGAACACTTCATTGTCTTGCTCTTTTTACTATATCCAATTGCATCATCAGGTTTTGTGTTGTACAAGATAGGGCACATGGGAGTTATGTATCTTGTTTATATTTTTGCTACATGTAGATCAACCAGTCCTAAATTCGAGCCAATCACCATTCAAGGATTCTGGTGTAACCTGAAATTCAGGATCAAACTGAGATAGGCAAAATTCTCCAGAAAAACCAGAAAAAAGTTTATATGCTTGAAAAGATAGGAGGGAGCTTGAGAAAGATGAAAGAAGAGTTCTAAAAACTATTCCAGTTTTTTCTAAAGTCTTGAATCTCTAAAGGAAGAGAAAAGCACGTTTTTTTTACAGGTTCTTTTTCCTAACAAAATTTTCTTGCCTTTAATTTTATAAATTGATATTTCTTATATTTACTTGCAGAAATACAAGAAGTTTATGTCAAAGAAAAAAAGGAACAAGTGGGGAGACTCTGGTCTCTAGGTATAGGTATTATTAATAAAAGTATATAGACTTTATTACAAAGAAATATAAAAATTTTCTTGGAACATCTGTTTTTTGTATTGGCAAAGGGATCAGTGGAAAGAGTTTATGTATAAAACAAAATTTTACTATAAGTTATTTAGAACAAAAATATTATAGAGTTTTTTGAAAATTTAGAATCTTTAAATTCAAAATATTTGTAAAACTGTTACATTTAAAAATTTCAAATTTTTATAATACTTTAGAGATTTTTTGTCTTAAGTAAATTAAAATAAAATTAATAATATCAATCTATAGTAAATTTAATATATGAGTTATAACTAAAGATAAATTCTAAGCTGTTTAATATATAAAATTTTACAAATCAATTATATTTTTTTTGAAGGTGATATAACTATTTACTTATTATTTTAATAGAAACAAAACTTAAAAACATTTGAATTTAGTAGCTTAAATTGCAAAAAACTTTTGTAAATAGTTTTTTTTTTGTTATTATATTTTAAAAAAAACTTTTTTAATAATAAAAAACATTTGAATTATATTCTTATTCTTAGTTTATGAACTTATTTTTAGTTATAATTCACTTATATGAATTTATAGTAAATTTAAATATCAAACTAATATCTATGGTTCTGAAAATTGGAATCAAACAGAATCACAGGAAATTGCATGAGATTTGAAATACTATTAAAAATGATGATGAGGTATACCCCATCTATTAAATTTAATATAAACTTGAGAATCGAATATAGAATCGAAGAGAATCATTAGGATCCTTACTAATATTAAAATGGTATTAAAGTGATATTGTTAAAAGCCTTACTAATATCTATAATTAGTTAAATCTTTACTATATTAATAAAGATAATGGATAATGCCTTACTTTAATATCAAGAAAACAAAAACAAATTATACTTATATGTATTATATATTTAAAAAATTTATGTATTTTATATAAATATTATTAATATAATAATAATAAATAAAAATTTAATAAAATAATATATTGATAATAATAAAATATTCAATAAAATTCATATTTTTTGCTTGTTAAAAAAATAATAATAATAATAAAATAAAAAATAAAAATAAAAATTTAATAAAATATTTTGTTTTTTTTAGTTGACTAAATACATAAGATGCAAGACTTTATTTTACTAATTAATAGTACTATCATTACATCAAACATTTTTACAGACTAAACTATTGCTATTCTAGAATGTAAATTAATACTACCTAGTAATTACCATTCCCAGTAGTACTGGTTTTCCATAAGCCAACTATTATCTGACTATGCGTTCATTTTAAACACCTCAAGGATGTGTCCACATGCCAGGTGGGACTTTCGCAGGGGGGGAATCCTACCACTAGTTTAAAACCCATCTATAACCTGTTGGTCCATTATTGCTAAGAGCAAGTTAAGTGGTGATGGTAAAGAGTGGTGCGGTGCTTGAGTTTTGGATTGTGGCCTGGACCCGTGTAACCATGTGGCCAAAGATAGTATGATTAAGGGTCACCGATTCTGTCCATATTAATGACCCGAATACCAATATGGTATGATTGGCTTATGTTGATCTTTTGATGAGGGTAAGCTATTCATGGTTTTTGTTATAAAAAATTTGAGAGCTGGGTAAAACAAGAAGACAGTTCTGTAGTCATTCTTCTTGAGTGATATGTGGAATGATAGTATTGTTAGGTATTCAAAATAGAGTTGCTCATAACTGCATGCTTCTGACACACTAGTTAGCAGTCTAGGCCCTCAGCAAAGCAAGTCCTTATGCGATCGGTATTGCCAGTCAAATTTCCTCCTTTCACAATCTCTTCTCACATTTGACTGACTTGACATGTAGTTATTGATTATAGAAAGGTGTGCCTAGAACTTTTAGGATAATGAGACCTGTTCTCATGATCCTAACCTTTCAATCAGAGTAAAACTATATTGACCTTTTCTATGTTAAGCTTTTTAGAACAAGGGAAGAAATCTTAGAAAGAAGCCTACACTTCTTGAGCAAGTAAGACGTCGACTTGAGTAAAGTTGGTAGCTTGGTTAAGATAGGGAGATGACAAACCAGAGGGTTGATGAAATGGAGTGGTAAAAAAAAGAGAGGCCTAGAAAGAAAACCTTCAAGAAGAAGGGGAAACTGTTCATCGGCAAGAAAGGGAATTTGGAAAAGGGATAAAAGAAAAAGTGAAAAGAAAAAGTGAAAAGAAAAAGATAAACTGCTCTTATGTTTGTGATTACCAGACATATACAAAGCCTCGCAAAAAAAATGTTGGCCACCCCAAAACCTTCCTAGTCCTTGTCTCAAACTGTTGTCATGCGTAGGAGTTGGTCTGCTCACGCTTCCCTAAACATGAGTGCTTTTTCTAAATATACTGCCAGACAGTTAGTGGAGCCTCGTGTGGTGTCAGCACAACTCAGACTCAACCTGCTGCAAGCTCTTACCTTTAGCAGAAGAAGAGAAGCAAAGGGGAAAGGGGAGAAAATTTCCTAAAAAAGAAGTTTTCTGACAAGATGGGATTTGTGGAAAAGAGTTTTTTAATAAAATATTTTGTATTTAATATCTATTTGTAAAAAATTAATAAATAATTTGACTTGCAATTTAATTAAAAATAAATATATATATATATTGTATAGTGAACCCTCTCTAAATGCACACCCCTTGGGACCATAGAAAAATTTTTGAAAAATATGCATTTATAGAGAATGTATATTTATAGAAATAATTTTATTAAGAGTTTTATGTACTTGGAATTAAGCTTGACCATGCATTTAAAGAGAGAAAATATAGTAAGTGCATTTAGAAAGGTCTCTCTGTATATATATTTTGCTTAACAATATTTTTTTAAATTTGAAAATTTAAGTCAATTAAAATTTATTAAAATATTTATTAAAAAATCAAAAAGTTTATTTTTTAAATAACTTTTAGCTTATATTAATCAATAAATTTCTTAGAAAATTTGTTATAAAGTACATATCAATATTTGTTTCTTTCTGGTTCTATAATTATATAAGCCAAAAAAATTATCTAAACTATATTAGAAAATTATTTTAAAGAATTGAAGTTTATAAAAAAACAAATAAGCTACAGTGTATATAAAAAGTTATGCATATTTATAAATTAGGAAAACACAATTATTCCATCAATTTACGATAAATATTGTTTCTTCTAATTTTTTTATTTCAACTTTTGATAGCAGATAGAGTATTATTGTACGTATTCTACTGCAGGTGATCGCTGACTTTTTACTATCGGAGATTGTTGACATTCGATAATTAAACTTTGACATGCCCTTGGAATACAAAAACATTTGCATCGCATTGTATGATTATTCGGCCCAGGACAGTGAAGAGATCTCATTTAAGGAAGATGACATACTCTACATTTTGGAAAACGATGACGAAGAATGGTGGAAGGCTAAGTTAAAGATTGCAAATGAAGAAGGAGAAGAGGGTGCAGACGGTCCAATCGGGGTTGTACCAAGTAACTACATACAGGAGGTTGGAACTGAACGAATTTGTTATAGTCGTTTATTTGATTCCCTAGGGGCAGCCTTTAACTAGATTTTCTCTCTCAGGCCGAGTGTTCTGCCGTAATGAAAGCTTTATACGACTATGACGCGCAGACGGACGAAGAACTAACATTCAAAGAAAATGATATATTACATCTATATGATAAGGACGATCCCGATTGGTATTTGGTCAAGCTTAACGATGTTTTTGGTTTCGTACCAGCTGCCTTTGTTGAAGAGGTTAGTAAAGGTGATTTTGTTCGACAATTTTCGAATAATTTTACCATACCCTTTTTTTGCAAATTCGTAGTTTTCTCCTGATGAAGATGAACAACCATCCGAGAGTCTGCCGGGTAACCAAAAATCTTTATCTGATGCTATATCGGTAGGCTTTCTTTACATTTATCTCAGGACCTAAAAATTCCTCTTCCTAATAAGATGACAAAATTTTGTTTTTCAGAATGCACCAGAACAGAATGGTAATTATGTGGCCCCATTACAAGCATATGCTCGCAAAGTTGCTCACCAAAAATCCAGTGGGCCATTTGAAGTCAAGACATGGTCAGTTTCGGTAACGTATATTTTGATCAAACGATGTCTTTTATTCTTATCTTGGCATCACATCGAGGGGATCGAGTACTGATATTTTATCGTATTTATAGGAATACTCCAGTGACAAGAAAAAAAAGAAAAAGAAAGGTACATTGAGTATAGGTGGTGACAAAATTTTTTACGCTAGCGAATCAGATAAGGTATTTTGTGTTTCTGTATTGATATATTATTCGGTTTTTAACAATCCTAAATAGCTTTACATAACTTAAAATAAGGCACCAGTTCAGCAATGGAATATCAATGAATTATCAGATGTCAAATACGAGAAGAAACGTATCACAATATCAATTAGTGGTGAGAAGGCAGCAAAATTTGATTTTAATACAAGTAAAGGCGATGCGGAGGCTATTTATAATAAGATACAGGAAAGTTTGGCGAGACTGGAATTGCCAACAGTTAAATTGGATACACCATCACGATCTTTAACCCACCAAGCTCAAGAGTATGAAGAGGAGTATGAAGAGGCGTATGAAGAGGAGCAAGAACCTGAAGTTATTGAAGACGAAACGGAGGAGGTCAATGAAGAAGATTTGCCACCACCCAAATTCGGTATTGCCTTATATGATTTTGAAGCTCAGGGAGACGACGAGATAACAATTCACCAGGGGGATAGATTGTGGGTTATAGATGATGTTAGTAGTAAAGATTGGTGGACAATTCGTAAAGGTGACGAAGAAGGCGCTGTGCCTTCCTCCTATATTGAGGTATTTGTGAAAATAATAGAAACATGATGACCTATTTTAAGCAGTATTTTTAATGCCAAATTTTGAACAGATACGTGGAGACCCAGACTCTGATAATGCTGAGGAAGAGAAACGCCTAAAACTTGAAGAGCAAATACGAATCAAACAGGAAGAAGAAAGACTGAAAAAAGAAGAGGAGAGATTAAGAAAGGAGGAAGAGAGGCTATTGAAAGAAGAAGAACGTCGTAAACGCGAAGAAAAAGAAAACGAACGGAAGCGACGAGATGAAGAAAAACGTTTACAAGAAGAGAAAAAACAAAAACAGGCTCTCCAGTCGCAAACGCCGCCGGCACTGCCAAGTATGATCTTTTGAACCATTGTTATCTTGTATCACACCATTCAGACAATTCTCACGGTACAACTTTTTATAGATCGGCAACCTATTCGCTCGAATTCGCCTTTAGGTTGAATTTACGTTTTAGATATTTATTCTGAAAATTGACAACATCATGTATGACTAATTCTATATATGCTCTGTGTAAATATATAACGCATATACAATAGATGACGAAGTTACCAAAAAAGCTCAGACCCCTACGAATCGTGCATCAACAGAAAGGCAAATACAAACACAAACACAAACCAAATCTAGTATGTTTCCGCTATTGACTTGAATTCGTTTATATTTAGACTAAAAATATATTGTAACTCGATTTACCATCTTTCTTGAAAGAGCCCATCCCGTCAAAAACAAGAACATGGTCAGATAGAACTGGCGCTTTTAAAGTCGAAGCGCAATTTCTTCAATATATTGACGGCAAAGTCCATCTTCATAAACTTAATGGCGTTAAGATTTCAGTGCCCATTGAGAGAATGAGCAAAAGTGATCTAACCTATCTAGAGGGGATTACGGGAGAAAAGTTTGATGATAGAACTGATGATATTCCTTTGGCTGCCATTGCTGCCGCTCACAGAGGAAAAGCA